TGACCAATGCACGCGTCCATGGCGGCCTGGCTCTATCATGGCGATAAGCAGCAAGTGTGGAGGAGGCCCGATTGTTATCTCTCGAGTCTCGAGTCCAACCCAGACGCATATTCCAAAAGGGCCCATCCTGCTATCCGCAATCCAGCACAATGAGCCCGTCGCCGCCAAAACGCTCCTCGACGACCATGGAGCAACAGAACACGGCCGGGACGTCCCGCAAACGTCGCCTTCGATACGTATGGCGAGCCTGCGATGTGTGCCGGCGACGCAAAGGCAGATGTGACGGCCGTAAGCCGTGCGACTTCTGTCGCTCGCGTGCGTTGGATTGTCGCTACACCGCCGACTCAGAACCCACGAACGAGCCTTCGCAGCCAGAGGATCCTGCTGTTTCTTACTCTGCCGTTGCTGCCCCTCCTATGCTGCCAGCCAATGCATTGGGGTTGAACGCGTATGTTCCCTTCGTGCTCGTCTTCAAGTTGCCCTTGTCACTAACCCAGCATGCTCTTTAGCAAGGGCGAGTCCATCTCTCGTGTCGTACTTGCGCTGCAAGCACAACTTGACAGTCTCGTCACACACATGGAGTTGTCCAACGAATTAAACACCTCACCAGTCGTTGCAACAGATCCCGCGCTTCCCCGGCAGAGCGCGGCTCCCCGGCAGAGCACAGCCCTCGAAGGTTTGGGCTCTGCCATCCCACCTTCCGGGGACGCTCAGATCAACACGAACGCAACATCAATCCCTAATGCTCCCATAACAGCCGTCGCGAATACATCGAAGCCATCCACTCGTCGCTTTTACGGTCCAACGAGTCCTGACTATAGTCTCAATGCTGCTACAATCAAGCTGCGACTGGCCCAAGCCCCTCCTGGCGGCCCCACTATCCCAGAAGAGACCAACCCCAGCCTAGAAGATGATCACACCGACGACGACGAGCGCACTCTGATCCAAGATGAAGGCCACGGGTCTGGCGTTCAAGAGCGCCTTGCTAAAACTAGGCTACGCCAATGTCTGGCTCAATTGCCATGGCTCATTGCCAGAAACGACGCTCTGCGCCTCTTGAATGTGTACCACAATGTCATTGGCCGCCTTCATCCTATTTTAGACCCAAAGCGGCTTGTCGAGCAGGCTGAGGCCTGCTATGTGTTCCATTCGAAACCCACGTCTGACGCCTCAATTCTTCACGAAGACACCATTCTAATCTTATATCTGGCGCTCTCGATCGCGCTTGCTGCCGAACCAGCCTCGCAGTCGCATGTGGGAAAAACGCTGTATAAAGGTGTGGAGCACCTGATCAAGCTAAAACTAGCATCCGAAGTGTCAAGCCTAGATCATGTTTTAATAGCGTTACTGGCGGTAAGCCTTCCATCCTGCCCAACAAGTGATGCATCCACTAACATGATGGGCTCGCGAGCAGTCTATTTACCACTTCTTCACTGGTGACACACGTTTGGCATGGCGAGTGTGCGGAATTTCGGGGCGCATGGCAATGGAACTGGGACTCCACCGCCGAGACGTTCATTGCCATCTTCTGCGAGACGAGAAGCAACGCACTGGAATCAGCGCTATCATCTGGAGCATAGTGATCTTGGACAGGCAATGGAGTGCCGCGAATGGCTTGCCTCAAAATTTTCAGGAATCGGATTTTGATCAATCCATAGAGCCTCCGGTGAGTCATCTCATTCTAAGACCCGAGTATGATGTTGGGGTTGCCCAAAGGCCAATCTTCTTGCTGACTTCAGACATGATAGGAGGACGCATGGTACCTTCGAGCGATGATCTCGTACACATTCATGAGTCCGAAGTTCGAAGTACCGATACACCGAGTCGCTGCCGGTGCAACTTATGAACAGGATGACGCTTTCGAACTACTCAATTTTCAGATTGACCAATGGCTGAAGAAGGCCATAGACGGTCATGGTATCTACCATCCATCCCCTGAGACAGCTGTTGGTGTAAAGCCAACGGCAGACCCTTCGAAACGCCCGTCACCCGTGGCCACATTACTCTATCTGCGTGCCAATGCCTTCCGGAGTATTATCCTCCGCCCGTTCTTTCTTTCAGGTTCCCCCTCCAATGTTAGTATGAAAATGATCAAACCTAGTATGAACATCATTTCCGACACCATTGGTGTACTCTCTTTGCTGAACTCCAGCACCGATGTCTACAAAACCCAGCATCCATTCTTTCAGCATTTCCTCAGCTCTTCGTGTGCACTTCTCTTCTTAGTGGTGGCTTACGTTCGCGCGGACCGCAACCGGTTGGTCATCATTCAGTCAGCCGATTTGCTGGAGCCTTTTCCTGCCTTAGTGAAGCGGGAGGTGGAATGTGCATTGGCTCTCGCTACAGCGTACAGTGCACTGTCGCAGAATTCCTGCAGACTTGCGAAGAGACTGCGTCATTTGGAGGAGCAATTAGCTCGGCCTGACTTTCTCCAACCTCCTCCAATCGAGACCGCCCCTGATCGAAATTTGCAACCGCAGCAAAATCCACAACAAAGACTCCAGATTCAAAGAGGACTGGGTGAGAAGGGAGATACCGTCGGCGGTGCTATTGGCACATTCCTGGACCAAGCAGAATTTCTGCAAGTCCCGGATGATACTATGGGAGACGAAGCAATGAATGGCATGTGGTGGAACGATATTGATATGTTTTGGCCAGATTGGCCCAGCAATGAGATTGCGAGTCAGTGTGTATGAATATATTCTCCTATACATATTAAGCAGATGCTTCAAGTTCCCGCGTTGCGACTGATTCAAACTTCGACATGGTGTGTAATCCCATGACCCCGAACTGCGTCTCTCTTCGACTAGCTATACGTTCTCTTCGCGGACCTGGAAGCCGAGCATGGTATTTGAAGTGACGGCATCTTTATTTCGCAACTTTTGTGATGTTTGAATCCCTGTAATCGGCAACTTGTACTCGAGTTTCTTTCCGTTCTGGTTCTGCCCGCCTGGCAGAGGGTACGGTATAGGCAAGTACTCTGGCAATAAACCCAGCTGAGCCAGCACAGTACCCTGGTCCCAGGCTATGTGTTCGTGGTAAAGACGGTCGCCTCGAATGTTGACAACCGCCATGAAGGGAATCTCAAGTCTGCGGCCTGTCGGAGGGATACCGGGTATTCTACACCTTGTCAGCGCCGCGATAATCACATTTTGAGACGGGCGACATCTCACAGCCAGTCCAACGGTGCGTTATGCGTGCACTTGAAAATGAACTCATCGATGATACGATCAATGCCGATGGAACGACTTATCAACTCCTGCTCGACATCCCTGGGATTCGAGTATATGAAATGGTTCGTATAGAAATGTGTAAGTTCCTCTCGTCCAATGCCACCCGTAAGCTACGCACGTCAGCGATGCGTCGAAACATGCCCCCACCGCGCAATATAACATACCGTAGGCACATGGTTGACATATGGCTCTTGCACCATCGTCGCCATCGTCTGCGGCACCGACGGATTTTCGAACTCCCAATACGTATGCTCGTCCCAAATCGCCTCGAGATCGAACCACGGGCCATTCATGCGCGGTTTGAGGAATGACAGATTCCGCGTGTGCGACACCGATTCCATGTTGTAATCAAATTCCGACTGAAAGGGCGTTGCAAAGAGGTGGGACTTCGCATTGGGGTAATCGTGGACGACACGAGTTTCGGTCCGAGGCGGCTTGCGCATCTTGCCCGCCATGTGTTGCAGGACTGGGACGGAGGTTATGGCGAGCTTGTGGTGCTCTGCTGCATTTGCGTAGACGACGGCGCCGGCGATTGAGGAGTGTGATGTTAGATATGGTGCTGCGCGGTTCCAAAGCTTCAAATCGTACGCTGTCATCCGAATTAGCAATGCAATGCGCAGACAGGGACTGGGGTAACATGCCGATGACGCCAATTGCATTCTTCGGCTCACATCTCTCCGCCTTGGACAGCTCTGAGACGGCCAGACTTATTGGGTCCTTTCCCTCGAAAAAAGCTTCTTCAAGAAGCTCTACAACTGTGTAACTCTCTTCTCCCCATTTCATGAGTGGTGATGGGACACCATTTTCGATGCGCAAAGTTGTATCATTTGTAGCTCCTGACTGATTCACAAGTACAATGAGTCCAGGCCCTGAACCTTTGCGGGACAATGGCTGAGAAAGTATTACACCAGGAGCAAGACGAGTTAAAGAAGTGACGGGGAGAGGAAGAGGAGTTTGATCAGCGTCGGCCATGGCGGTGTATCGGAATGGAGCCTGGGAACTTATGGGGTACGAGTCGATATTGTATCAGGTCACGGCTGGTGATACTTTGACAGGACGTGTACTGAGATAAGGTTCAGTAGCTAGCGAAATTATATGAGCAACTCAATTCTAGCTCAGCCCTATGGCCACGGGCCTATGGGGCGGAAGTAGGTGGAGTGCCGTAGCGGAAGGCTCGAAGCACCAGATTGACACGTGCGAGTACATTCCTTCTGGAACCAAATTTCCATGACAGCCTACGGAAGGGTTTCAGCCTCCCGGTGTTGGGATCACGTCACGTTTTAGTGACTCAAATGACTTGCATTTCACGGATTGGCCGCAGATACCGTACGTACCGGACGGGCTAATGCCCGCTCAACCCCACTAACCACCAACACCACTCACCCGATCGCACCGCAGCCACCACAAATTGAACCGATCGACGCTGCGCTTGCAACTGTCGTTGCTTTGAAACCTAGCGAAAAACTTGTATTTACCTACACCGTCAAAAGTTATGGTGTTAATTAAAGAACGCTCGCGCAGTAGTAGTAAAGTAAAACAGCTTCACGTTTACGTTATGGCTTAAAAATCGTTAGGCTTTCCACCTGCAAAGATCAATCGATCCAATAAGATATATAGATTAAACTTACTGTACGTAGTACCGCATGTAATTAAGATCTTATCTAGAGATCAACTTTGAATATTACGAAAAGATGTATTAGTTACTATGTACTAAGTTAATTACTACACAACTACCGATAGATGAATTCGGTGATCAATATTATTAGATTATTCCTCCCGAAAATCTGACCATAAAGCTTTTCTATGGAGATCTACTGGCTCATCTTAATGGTGGTTGTGGTGGGGCAGATGGGGCGTTGGCCCGTCCGGTACAGTAAGGCATTCAGACATGGCATTCGGGTATGGGGATCATACCACATGGGCCCTTGATTGTTGAGAACGTTTCATTGCAAGATGCACAAATATCTATCCTAATGCTTAATGTACCCATGCCTCATTTCTTCCCCCAATCACAGCCATTCCATCTCTCAAACCCATCAGTATGAATGCCAAAATTATCCAACATCCTCCCAACACTCTGCTCCACCATCTCCTCCAAGCTCTTCGGCCGCGTATAAAACGCGGGCATCGGCGGACAAATTACCGCCCCCATCTTCCTCACCGCCAACAGATTCTCCAGATGGATATCGCTCAGCGGCGTCTCGCGCGGCACCAGCATCAGTGTCCGCCGCTCCTTGATTGTCACATCGGCGGCGCGCGAGATCAAATCGTCGCAGAACCCTATGCGCACAGCGGCAAGCGTCTTCATGCTACACGGCACTATGATCATGCCGTCGTGCAGAAAGGAACCGCTGGCAATGGGAGCCGTCATGTCGCGCGCCGTGTAGACTCTGGAGGCGAGGGAATGTATCTCGGCTTCTGTTTTGTCGGTCTCGTATTTGAGGGTTGTGTGGGCCCATTTGCTCATTATGAGGTGCGTTTCTATGGAGAGGTCACGTAGGATTTCGAGGAGGCGGACGGCGTAGATTGTGCCTGTTGCGCCGGTTATGCCGATTACGATGCGTTTTGGGCGGCATGGTTGTGTGGATATGTGGGATTGGTAAGGAGTTGCAGTCGAGAAGGCGCTGTGATGTTGAGTGACTGGGCGAATGTTGATGCGGTTGTGAATTTGGAATGCACCCGTCAATCGGTGACTGACGCGGCAAGATCGAGGGCAAAGCATGTGCATGTTGGATGTGCAGCGTGAGTGGCCAGCTACATGCCCAACATGTTGGTATCATTACTCGTATCGGTGCTGTCATGGGTCCATCCTCCTCATCCTGGACGCTTCCACCGCCCGGCGTTAGCGGCTTTTGCACGACGGAATGGGCAACGGAAGTTCCGGAACCTGCGTCCGGACCATTCCGCCGCCTTCGGAACGCTATCTAGGAACGTTCCTAAACCCCGCGTTACGGTAACCCTAACCCTAAGCCCCGCAGATAGACGCTAAAACTTGGCCTGTGCCTACCTAGCGGCGGCTCGGAGACATGGGACCCTTGCACAATTTCTGGGGAAGATGAAGAGGGGGAAGAGGACAAGCGAGGACCTCAGCACCGAGTCCAGTGCGTGTGTGCAACCCTAGCTCCTATCTGCACATCGCCATCAATAGAGCCAAATGCTGTCGAGAATACGCCTATGCAACCCTCGAAGATTTCGAGCAGCTACTATACACAATCATCGACGTCTCATGGCTACTACTACTGCCCAAAGCATGTCCAGTGCTCTGCCAGCGAGTGAAAGCCCGAGTGCACCACACGACTTTCGAGCCTTCCTCGACGTATTGCGAGCTGACAATGACCTGGTTGAAATCAACACCGAGGTCGATCCACATCTCGAGGTTGGAGCAACCGCACGTCGTGTCAGTGAAACCAACGGAAAGGCCCCCTTATTCAACAATGTCAAAGGTGCGCGCAACGGGCTATGGCGCATCTTCAGCAATGCAGCCGGGCTGAGAAAGAACGAGAACGAGAGGTTCGGTCGTGTCGCCAGAAACCTTGGACTCCCCAAGGACGCCACCTGGAAGCAGATCTGCGACCGGAGCCAGGAGGGCAAGAACAAGGCTCCTATACCTCCTAATGTCGTCCCGACGGGGCCGTGCCAGCAGAATCAGATCCTTGGCGATGCTATCGACCTTGAAGCTCTTCCAGTACCCTTTCTGCACCAGCATGACGGTGGAAAGTTTCTCCAAACGTATGGTGTCCATATGCTCCAGACTCCTGACGGATCTTGGACGAATTGGTCCATCTTTCGTGCCCAGGTCTACGACAAGCGACATCTGGTCGCCCTCATCAACCCGGGACAGCACAATCACATGGTCATGGAAAAGTGGAAGAAGTTGGGCAAGGACGTGCCATGGGCGCTTGCGTTTGGCGTGCCTCCTGCTGCGACCATGGCAGCAGCGTGCCCTCTTCCCGAAGGTGTGAGTGAGGCTGAGTACGTTGGTGCCATGCTGGGACGGCCTCTCGACCTGGTCAAGTGCCAGACGAATGATCTGCTTGTGCCTGCCAATAGCGAAATCGTGCTTGAAGGTACACTGTCGACTACCAAGATGGGCGACGAAGGGCCCTTTGGTGATTATCTCGCACATCAATTCGACGACGAGCGACGGCCAGGCTCTCTCCTCAAAGTCGACCGCATAACATACCGCGACGACGCCATCTTGCCCGTCTCCGTTCCAGGTCGCATTGTCGATGAATCTGTAAGCCCACCAACCCTCCACTCCCTTCGACCTCACTAATATGCACCCAGCACACCACGGCCTCCCTCGCCTCCGCCGAAATGGTCACCCTTTGCCAATCCCATGGCCTCCCCATAATCGATGCCTACTGCCCCCTCGAGACAATGGGTACCTGGTGCGCGCTGCAAGTCTCCCTTCCGCAACTCGCCCTCCTGCATACCGACGCCGCATCCTTTAGCCAACAGATCGGGAACCTGGTCTTCTCTTCCAAAGCCTCAATGCTCATCAACCGCGTCTTCCTCATCGGCGACGACATCGATGTCTACAATTTCAAAGACATCATCTGGGCGCTCAGCACGAGGGCGCGGCCGGGGTTGGACGATTTCCCGTTTGAGGATGTGAGGGGGTTGCCGATAATGCCGTATATGTCGCATGGGAGGGGGGATCGGAAAAGGGGAGGGAAGATGGTGACAAATTGCTTGTTGCCCGCCGAGTATGAGGGGCGGAGGAACTGGATTCCGGTGGATTTTGAGAGTTCTTACCCGGAAGTGGTCAAGGAGAAGGTTAGGGAGATATGGGAGACGACAGCCATTGGGGAGTAGATAAGATTTTTTGTGTTTGTGTTTTACCAATTGCAAAACCCCGTGTATCAATTTCTATATCATCGCATGCCTCACACTACCAACGCCATCAGCCAGTCTTTTCCACTTCTGAATATGAATGATCGATACTTTAGCATGATATCGTACTTGTATTTCAATTCTACGCAATAAAGCTACTTGCCTCCTACAGACTCGCCTTCTCCCAAGATCCCTTCAACCGCACTTCCAGCACTGCAAGAACCCCATTCTTCACCGATTCAATCGCTTGGGGCAGCAACTCATCCAACTCCTTGACACTGCTTGCACATCCAGCCCAAGCCTGATGCCCAGCTGCCGCCTTTGCAATACCAGAATAATCCGGTGTAGGCGCAAACGAAATTCCAATCCCTTCGTTATCAACCTCGGAGCCAACGCCATCAGGGTGCACGAGGAGAAGTGAATTGCGTGGAGCATTCCACCCTGTATCAAAAATCAGCCCAGACCTTCTCCAAATGGGAAAAAACATACCTTTGTTGCTCAAAACCACCGTCAACGTCGGAATTGAATACTTCCTCGCAATCCAATAGACCGTACTCGGCACCCCGAACATCCACGTCCCATCCCCCACAATCTGACACACAAAGTCACCCTTACCAATCCCACCTGCCAAATAATCCGACGCGAGCTTCACTCCAATACTTCCTCCTCCTGACCACCCCAACCCGCCTCCCCCGCCGTTGATCAAGCGCCCCGGAGTATCGACCTGCAGCTGATTGCACGTCGGCAACGCATTCGTCACCGCCTCCGGACACCAAATGGTATTCTCCGGACACAACTTGCGCAGTTGCGATGCCAGGTACGGGGTATGCGGCGGCAGACTCGTATCCACGGGCGGCGCCGCAAGAACTGCAAGGCTATCTAGACGGGCCCTGTGTTCCGCTACCATTTTCTCGCGACGAGAAAGGTACGGTTCCTTTGCCAATACCGCGGGGTACGTCGCATGGCCGGAAATATACTGCTGTATCTGCCTGAAACTCAGTTCCGCATCAGCGCAGTACCGGTACTTTGCGGGGATGTAATGGAGTAGCATATTCCTCTTCAGCGTATCCACGTCAATATGCATGATGACCGCGTCAGGGCGCGGAGAGCATTGGGTAGGGATCCAGGGGACGTCGCAGTCTACGACAAGGATCACGTCTGCGGTGCGTATGCTCTCGTGCGCGCCGATTTGCAGGCCTAGAGACGCGGGGTGCGAATACGGGAAGCAGACGTCGCTGCCCAGGGCGTCGATGACGCGGAGACCGGGGACTGTGTCTGCAAGGGCGACGAGGGCGCCGCACGAGGCGTGGTTGCGGCCCGAGTACCCGGTTATGACAAGGGGTTCTTGGGCTTTTACCAGCAGGTCGGAGATGGTTGCTACGCCGTCTTGGGCGAGGGGTTGGGGGGATACGGGGCCCCAGACGGTTTGGTCGAGCTTGTAGGGCGTGATTTCTTGCTCGAGGACTTCGCGGCCGGCGGTGAGGTATACGGGGCCCTTTGGGTCAGAGGTTGCGAATTGGAGGGCGCGGTTCACCATTTGCTTTACGTTTGTGCCCGTCTTGATCTCGCCCGTGTAGCGGCAGAATTGTTGGACTATTTGTTTTTGGTCGGGGGCGTCTTGGAGCCAGTGGATGTATTCTGTACGGGAGCCGCGCATTTCGCCTGGATTTTGTCAGTGGGGGGCTTTGGGTTCAGGACGAGAAGACGTGAATGTTACCTTCAAGTGTGAAGGGTGAGAGACCCGCAAATATCAGTACTGGGACTCGTGCAACGGAAGCATTGTGTACAGCAGCACCGAGACATTGGGTACCGACATCTACATGCACGATCACGCACTGAGGTTTGCCGGTGAGTCGAGCGAAGCCATCAGCCATTGATAGCGCAACGGTCTACAGTGGAAGTCAGAGAGCTCCTTTACCAAGGTCGCTGCGATTATTCACCTCATGGGGACACGTGACGACTTTTGGAAAGCTTCCAGTTGGGTCCTTCTTTCCTCGTGCAATCGCTTCCATTATCCCAGGGTGGTCAGACCCCAGGTTAACGAAAACGTGTGAGATACCGGCCTGGAGCAATATTAGAATGTGATCATGAGAGAACATTGACTACATTTCGTACCTCCCATAATGCCTCGAAGAACGCAGTTGCTGTTGTGTATTTCCTGCACATAATCAGCACTATGCTGGGCACTCATTCTGCTCAATGTACCAACATTTGACTCATGGCTGTAGTGATTCTCGAACTTTTCGATAGGATACAGATTCAGAAAGCCCTCTTGCGACCATTCAATGTGAAGTCATATGCAGATACATAGCGCTGGGTCCACATGCCGCAACGCGTCTAGTTCCGGCGCATTTCGGAATACGCGTTAGGCGTAACCGAACGACGTTGAACCGCCGCATCGAACCGAACTAGTAGCAGTTCTTAGGCTCTAGGTCAGGCTGCACGGTAAGCCCTTTCCTTCCGTGGGGCTTGTGATTCGTCCGATGTCGGATTGGGTGTTGGAGTGGTAATTTTGGGGCTGCGGGGAAATTGAAGTTGGTGGTTCCGAAGGGCGCGGTACCAATGGTGGGGAGTAGCTGCTCGAGATTGTTGGATCAAGCTGCGCATGCCGTTGAATTCATTGAATGATGAGGATATGCAAGGAGTGTGACATTTACATATCATTATCGCATTTCTATTCTGAACGAGAAGTCTTAACGAATTTCACGTATTTCGTGTTGGTGTTGCGCTTTAGTGGCCGAAAATGGACTACTAAAACTAACGCTTATCTGCCCGACTTCGTCACATCTCGAATCGCATCAAACATTGCAATGTGATTAAATTCCTGTCAATCGTCGCTGCAAAATTCCAATCTGCCTACAAAATGAGTGGAATAATGTATTGCGACTGAGTTGAATTATTTCTATCTATTCACTGTATAGCGTATCAAATTAATTTTCTCAGAAAAGAATGGCAGGTGTTATGGGTTAGTCCTTTACAGAATACTGTCAGGAACCAAAATTTATTGTATTGCTTGAGCTATAGAGAATGGTTTGGATCTACGGTCACTTATAGTATCCGCTACGTGTCCTGCTTGTTACTATACTTTTATAGGGTAGGTTATACCTACCCCATAACAGCAGATCACATCCCAACCCGCTGTAATCGGGCATCAGGAAAAAAAGACTTTGCAGTTAAGGTATGTAAAATGATTCGACAATCATGTATTGTAGCACGCGGACGCAACTACCATAGTGACCCCTCCAACAACTAATCATAAACAATTCTATTCCTCGTCCTCCCGCAATGCTCCACCTCCACCTCCACAACATCTCCATCCCTCAACCATTTCGGCCCCCCAGCCTGCCCAAACCCTACTCCCGACGGCGTCCCCGTCATAATCACAGTCCCCTTCTCCAGCGTCGTTCCCTGGCTCAAAAAGCTAATAATCGTTCGGACATCAAACAACAAATCGTTAGTATTAGTCTTCTGCCTCTCCTCCCCATTAACCCAAGTCCTTAACTCGAGGTTGTCCGCCGCCCCAACCACAGCTGGCGACACCATCAACGGGCCAATAGGTGCGTACTTGTCAAAGCCCTTGCTGAAGCACCACTGTGGGACGCCCCCAGCATACGCGGGATCACGCTGCCATTTCCTGGAGCTGATGTCGTTGGAAGATACGTACCCCGCGACATAGTTGATGGCGTCGTCTTTGGAGATGTTCTTCCCCGTCTTACCGATCACGATGGAGAGCTCGCCTTCATAGTCGGCTTGGTCGTCTTGTGCGATTTTGGGGATGGGGATGGTTTCGTTCCAGCCGGCGATTGAGGTGTTGGCTTTTATGAAGAGGGAAGGGTAAGGGGGCGGTTTGCGGCCTGCTTCCGCGACTAATTGAGAGTGGTGAGATACGTTGCAGATAAGTGTAGGATTGTACTTACTGTGTGTTTTGTAGTTTAAGCCGATGCAACGTACGGTGGGAACATCTTTTGGCTGGAGGAGATGGAGGATCTCTTTCACCTTAACAATTTTCCCGGTGCTTTTGACTTCGAAGGGGCTGGTGCCTTCGAGAATCTCTGCTTCTAAGCCAGCTTCCAATTTGGACATGAGATCCTGAGCATTTTGAAGGTGTGGCTCGCCATAATGTTCAGCACCGTCTTCGCCCCGGAAGCGAATCAGTCGCTTCCAAGATGCTCCAGGAATGCCCATGACGAATGATGACCGAGATGTAGAGGTATGACGAAAGTAGTACTTAGCGGGGTAATGACAAATTTGGGTACATCTGTAGAATTGTCTCTCAGCATGTTTTATGTGCGATAGTGTCCAACTGCTGGTCCTAGCTGCTGCGAAGCCCGCGGAAACGAGCCGGACCTCGGGGCTAGCGTGCGGAGGCTTGCCAACCAATCGCCGTGGTCGACGAACGGGCTCCGAGGATGCCCTGGCATTTGTAACACAATGTTAGTCGATCATTTTGTAAGCATAGATGATATTGGAATCGTACCCAGTGTCATGATTCGCCCGGCCTCGCACATCCCCGTTTGGTGTTAGTGCTTTCCGATGTGTCCAGAGCACATAATCTTCCGTCAGCAGGCGCGCATTTGTTCCGCGGGCTTAGAAACGCGCGTTCGTACTTCCAAGTATTTACTATTTGTAAAGTAAGTGGTCATGCATATATAAATTCGAATTCGGCAATCGATGATCTATAGCTTACCTTATCTTTCCTGACCCAGCCCACACTTCACTGACCATCTTTGACTACTATCCTGTTTAGATTAGCAAGATGACTGAGGTCTTGTCGAACGCTCAGGTCCCGCATCTGAATGGTGACGGTGACTCTCCAGAGAAACTACTTGCCGACGTTCAAAAGCATGCCGTTTCACCACTCTGGATGCAGATGAAGAGGTTGAACCCTCCACTGCCCAACCCCCAAGCAATTCCTCATTTATGGAAGTACAAGGAGATCCGGCCAGACTTGCTGCGAGCCGGAAAGTTAGTGACTGAGAAGCAAGCTGAGAGGCGGGTATTGATGTTAGTGAATCCTAACAAGGGTATGTATGGGCATCGCCGTGCCCCAACGACTTCAGACCCCTCCTGATGATAGTAATGAATGTCGACTCACGTTCTTCATAGAAGCACCATTCACAACCGACACCATCTATGCCGGACTCCAACTCGTTATGCCCAACGAAACCGCCCCAGCCCACCGCCACACCGCCTTCGCCATGCGCTTCATCATCGAAGGTGAAGGCGGTTTCACCGCCGTCCATGGCCGCCGCGTAAACATGAAGCGCGGCGACGTCATTCTGACCCCAACCTGGAACTGGCACGACCACGGCAAGGACGGTTCCGGCCCCATGATCTGGCTTGACGGACTCGATCTCCCTAATTTTGTGCATTTCCCTGTGCATTTTGTAGAACATCACACTGCAGCAAGGTATCCAGCGGAGAACGTGGATTCGAATGCTTCGCCGATTGTGTTTCCGTGGGAGAGGATGGCGGAGAAATTGGATAAGGCACCGGGGAAGTGGGTTTCGTTGCCGTATCTTCAGGCTAATGGGACGGAAGGTAAGTGGGATAGGATTCCAAAATCGTTAATGGGAGGCAGATCTAACATGTGTGATTTAGTGAGCAGAATACTCGGCGGTTCAGCAGAGCGGCTTAGCGCAGGGGAAAGTTCTCCGCCAGTGCGGGAGACGGCTTCCTCAGTGTATCATGTTGTTGAGGGGTCAGGGTACACAGAGGTAGAGGGTAAGAAGTTGACCTGGGAGCGTGGCGATACTTTCTGCATCCCATCATGGCATAAGTATCAGCACTTTGCTTCAGGTGGGCAGACGGTGTATCTCTATCGCTTCGATGACAAGCCGATGCTGAAGGCATTGGGATTCTATCGCGTGGAAGGAAGTGATACAGACGCTTTGGCGTCGTCGTGGACAGAGTTGTAGGTTCATTGCTGTCGCAAAATCGCTTGGCAGAGATGAGGGACTTTGGATTGATCAGTTCATTTGTCTTACACTCTTTTTTTAGGGAAATTATTATGTGTTTTAGCAGAGGGAATTCGATCGTTCAAGGTTTTGCCAAACACTGCAATCACGATGACCAAATTTGAATCGTGGGAACTACATCTTCAACATTGCAACTCTCTATTTGTGCCTCGTAATATGATGTGGGCGGAGTCCGAATGGTGCGCGAAGTAGGAGTGTACTTCCCAAGTCTAGCGAAACTGTACAATGAGGTATAATAGCTAACTAGGTTAGTTGAGAGACATGGTTTAGCCGATAATGGTGTTCGCTCTGGGGACGTTGCATGCTCGTAGTGAAGAACGCCACCTCGAACATTCTCAAACTCCATATATAAGCTGATTTTAAACTTCGAATATATTTCGCATACCTGTGGCAGTGTCCCAGAGAGTCTCGTAGGCGAGTTATTGAATGCGGACGGGGACTGTAGAACGTCAAGATAATCTAGTACTTATGTAGTAGATTGTTATCAACATATCCTAAGCTTTGAGTAAACAGTGAACTAATAATGGATATGACACCATTCCTCACATTCCAGCATAACCTGGATGTGGGCCTCGAAGGATTAGGGGGTATTGCGCTACCCCTCATACGTGCTCTGCCTGGCACAGTGCACTAGCAGTGCTGCGATAAACATCAAATATATGTTGGTATCTATTGTTCCTGACTGACAAACATGGATTTTGTTCTCCTATAACTGACAGATCCTATATCACTCGATTACCACCTGGTGTATATAAAGCCACTATGACGAAACTCACTATATTAAGTAAATTGCATTATTAGTATAAGCATGAATCTACATATTCTGTCATAAACTTCCCAATCGCAGTAGAAGCCTCTTTTGACAATGTCCTGACTTCCTCACGAATGTACGATTGATCCGCGAAGTGGCCAAATCTGCCTTGCCACAGGAGCCACCGCCCTCGCGACAACCCCGGCTCCCTATCCCATAAGTCCGTTTTCACTGCCAAACCCCTCTCCCAACCTTTCTCGAACATGGAGTTTCCTAACCTGTACATATCTGGTCCCCCTGTGAGAACCCACCTGGCAGCCGCCGCCAAATCGTAGCTTATGACTTCTTCCGTGTTGATAGCAGAATACTTGAGCGAACTTGGGCGAAGATTCTTCTCAAAATCCAACTCAAGTGACTGTCGAATTCTCTCAAGCGTCTCTCGGAGACAAAAGAAACCAAAAATGAAATATTTGTCATCGAACCCAGACTTTGCCAGCTTCACGGAGAAGGCGTTGTAGTTGACCCATCTATCACCAGGTGTGATCGGCGCTTGCTTATCTTCTGGCTTCCAAAGGTATCGTTTTCCCGACAGGTCATCGAGATTCTCCCGATGCATGGAGGCGAGGTAATAGTAGACCGGATTTGGTGAGGGTGGTATATCACGGATAGCGAAAAGGAGTTTGACAATGACGTCGTGCGGTTCTGAGAACTCGGCTACCGTATCTAGCAACAACATCAGGACTTCGAATCCCGCATCTTCATGCTTCGACGATGTACGGACAGAGCTCAAGATTGCTTCTGCGGCAGGTGCGGGTGGGGCGTCGTTTGAGACAAACTCTGCCAGGATCCTGGTGCATTCTTGAAAGGAGTTTCCACCAGCGTTCGCCTTTTGACTGAACCATCGATCCATAGTAAGAAGGTTATGCTTGTGAAAGGTGCTGGTGTGGAAGTGGTGAGGTTGCAATCACGGATTTTGTTCTTGGAGTTCTAGTTTGATAGAGTGATTAGGTAGCTTTTCTTGGCACACACTACGTCATAAGTAAATTAGGTAGAGCTTAGGTAATTATCGTTCTTACTCTTGCCTTGTTAGATGTTAGTCTGATAAGTCGACTAGCTTGGGAAGGTTAGAGGAATGTGGCATAGCCTAGTTCGGGAAGTATAGATTAAAGCGGCACAGCCTAGTTCTAACCTATCCTGTCAAGATCTGCATACATATGAAGTAGTAACGTAAACCGCCAAGGACTCTTATTCTTTTCACCACTCTGACACATCGGGCTAGTACTTTTATCTGTACCCTAACATTAACTCTAAACCCCTTCTGTCTCGATACCAATATGTATAGTTGGCATTAACAGATACGCTGGCATCTGAAGCCACTAGCTGCAGAACTATCCCCTGCAAGCAGATTGATTAATAAAAGATGCGGTAGTCTACGAAGATATGTTGCCTTACTTTGGCAACAGCTACTGCAGCAAACATCATTACCAGTTCCTGGGCATTCCTCTACATAATGTTAGCTGTTTAGGTATCTCAAAGTTCACATTCTGTTATGATCTATGATAAACCTAAAAGAATAGCTCCAAAGTCTTATATGGTAACTTCCGTCCTATCTGAAGACAGGGCGCTCCAGCTGTCCTACAGGCAACGCATCTTCCGCCATCCTACAAGTAGTTAGCATAGATTATACTATTTCCGATATACGATTTAGCTTACTGCATCGATTTGACATACAACTGCTATTCACCGTGCACGAATCTAAACCCTCATTAGCTATCAAATCAATCATTAAACAACTGAAATCATTACAGCCAAAAATTCCACATTGAGCTGCAATCGTTGAGGCAAAAGCCAGAGAGCATAAAATCGTAAAGAAACGCATCTTCGAAGATTTTAATGTTCTGATGTAGGGAGTTGATCAAAGTTAATGAAATCGATAGACTCAAAATACTAAATAAGATGCGTACGAAAGTGTACCCTCCACAGCCTTTTGATATGAGGAGGTGGCTTTCGAAACATCGAACTACTGGCGGTCGATTAGCATGACTCTCGGTCCGAATTGATTCAGCATTGATAAAGATTTCAACTTAGCATGAAACAGAGTTTCCAAAGAATGACTATGAATCTGTGTTGGTATTCCGAATATTCTATTGAAGCCGAACTACTCAAGAGCATGAACAAAGTATAGTAGAGAACTACAGTAGTTATTGTTTAGAATGAGAGCATCCAGATACTCAGTTTTGTGAGCGGCGATAAGCTTGACCTGAGAAGACAGCTATGCTTGTCACTGGGCGTTGGATTATTCCGCACGCCTAGTTCTTAACAATAAGCACTTATGTGATCTGACGCCACAATGCGGAGTGTCGGGCTTTAATGAGGCCTTGGATTGGTTCGTAGGAGGCCTAGTACCTTGACTAATTTTCTTAGTGGGTTATACACCTAGCGCTAAAAGCAATCGGTGATTAATTACTTCCTTGTTATTCCCCTTGGATTGTATACCGAGCCGCAATACTTGGAACCGGAGGCAATTGACAACCAATTGATTACCTTTTGCTCTTCTTGCGCTATAACTACACCGAATTGCAATATTTAGAACTAGAAGCGCTTCGTGTACTATCTCTTCGTCGACGGTGAATCTCGATCATAAAGCAAGACTCAAAGGTTGCATCCTTCATGCCAACGGATGCTGCGTCCCGAAGCAGCTTGCGCTCTTACCTAGCTTACTCTTATCGTCATTCTATACACACTCTACGACTACCTTGACCATCTTCGCTTTTGCAGTAGTGTGCTACACTGTGGAGCGCGACAGGGCGCCAACAAATGCAAACAGCACCTTTTACACATAAAGTCCCAAGTGAGCTGGCTATAGGCGAGGTTCCCTGTCACGTCAATCTCCAGCGCCGTGCAGGAACGAGGAAGTACGATGATGGCCGAAAACACTACAGGGCGTCATAAAAAGTTCTGGACTTTCTTGTTCGTCAGTAAATCATAATGTGAAGCACACTGCACATTTTCAAGATAATGGAACAAAGAACAGAAGAAATATAGTACCGTTTGCGGCATCTGATTATCAAAACTACAACCACACCATACCACTCAGCTTCTGTGATCCATAAGGTGTACTGGCCGATTTCCATTTACTTGGAATGCCGTCAATACGTGGTATTGCTTCTGAAATGTAGAACCTTCTCCAATAGAAGAAGCTGTCTCCGAAAGATTGAAATCAGCCGGTGGATTCGTGTGTGCTGTCTTTGTTACTTGGGCGTGCTTGAACGCAGTGTCAATATATCGCAAGACCTCGCTGAGTGTACAAAAAGCTGCATAAATAGAACCTCAAATACGTTAACTATGCTCTGAAAGTGCCTGGAGTACAAATAGAATTGTGATCAATAGTAGCTAGCATGTGTAGAGTAGTGAAGCCTCTGATCTCAGCCTTGCTCCGGTCTGATATCTCTATAGTAGATGTTCAGTCTGTATCCCGTCACACAAATAAGTAGCTTTGATTGTCTCAATATTGATATAAAAGTTGTTGTAGAGCTTGCACTTATTACATATATTAACAGTACATCGTGTTGCCTCAATTTAGTGCCTCAGTGTTTATCATCTTGAGAATATAGATTCTCCCGCTTTCAATTTTCGCAACCTGTACCGAAAAGACAGTGATTTGAGTGATCTTTTGCGAAATAAGTGTTCCGATACTCGGCAGCAATGTCGCTGCAGTTAAGGCTTCGTCCCTCGCATATCTCAATAACGAGCGCTTCGGCGTAGGGATTGCGGTTCATGTCTATGTCGAATATCTTTTAGAGGTCCTAGTATACGGGCACATAGGCTACTCGAAGTAACATTGAAAAAATACAAGGGCTGCAACCCTAGCAACAGATTCTAGTCCGATAAAAGAGGAGCCTACTTAGGAAATACTGTAGCGGTGATATCCTGATCCTGCACCAATTGTGAAAACGCACGCTACATTTGATATATATACCGTACTGCTCTTACTCTATCATACAGCGCATACTAGGTGATTGACCATGGTTCCGTATACCACCTGCCAGATAGTCTTAGCAAGATACGACGCAAAACCACTATAAGCGCTAACCTAGGGAAAGTTACATGTATAATTAGCTGGTTGATTGCCGGATAGCTACTTTACGATTACGAAGGAGCTCCATGTCGCAAGGATAAATGGTGTAATATGCAATCTCCGGGCCGACTCGATCCCACATCTTGTTCGTATGCTGATGCCACTAGCCACTGTGGCTAGTGAGTGGACCCAGGGTGCCAAGTAACCGCGCAATCTCGTTAGTAGCTTGATTCCAAGGCCCCTTGTCAGATTTTATTTGCTTTCTGGGCGTCGTCGTTGGCCTAATTGGGGGTTTAGGCGCCCTCTCTATCAGTAGGCTCACATACACTAGTGTAAGGCTTAGTTTATTTGCACATGCGCCTTTCAGGAAATGATACTACATACGGCCAAATCGAGATTGTGGGAGAACATTTATCCGAACACACAATGTTATTGTGCTGTATCACTTCTTCCATAACAACGCCATTAAGGCAACGCCGTTCTTGGTAAACTAATTCGCACATACGTCTTGACTCTATGTTTTTCCGGTAAGATGTCGGAAGAAAATGCCAGCAAATCGCCTCAAGCATACTCCTGCAAATGCCAGTAAGTCAAGCTCTCATTCTTCTCAACACCGTATCTAAACGTCATGGCGTCAGCTTCAGTCACCGAAGCTCATAGTCCTCCGGACATGTACAAGGTACACACGATGTCGTAGACAGTCCATTGATACTGTGTTATCTGAAGTTCCCCTGCGCATCTGTACTGACTACTTGCTTAGCTGTGGGGAAGTAAGGTTTACTATGACACTGTCTTCGCATCTGGCAGACTACACAGTCATGCAATGTAACTGTTCCATCTGTGTTGTCAATGGCTACCTCTTGGTTTACCCGAATCGCTCCGATGTTGTCTTCTATGGAGATTTGAAGAACCACGTGCATAAGTACCAGTTTCACACTAAGAAGAAAGATCACTGGTTCTGCCTCCACTGTGGCACGAGCTTGTTAATTGATTTTAACGGTATATATGAGAACTACGATGTAATGGCGGTCAACGTAAGTGAAGCATGCTCGAAACTGGGCTTAGTACTGAGCTTAACATATAGGCTCGGACAATTGAAAATGTCGACATTGCTACCTTGACGCTTGAATACGGGAATGGTAAAGCGCTTTAATTAGTCCACGTCGGCTCATTTGGTTGGTTGAAAAGAATGTGTATTGAGTGTAAACCCAGTTAATTAACACCATACTCCCTAATTTCTTATACCCCTTCCCATCGGCGGACCCATATCACATGTCTCCCAAAAGTGAGATTTCCGCCACCTCTAGTCATATCCCATCACATTTCCGTTCAAACCACAAGCCTTGGAGAGTAAGCTAATGGTTGAGGCATTTCGAACCCTCAAGTTGGTGGACTGTGCCTCAATATAAGGATTCAGTTAGAGACCTTCTAATGAGCAGCCTCATGGTTAGACACCATCTGCGGGTCACGTGCCATCAACTCTATAGTAGCCGCTTGATACAAATTAGTTTCGAGATACCAGAGAGAAAGGTAAGCTTATCATCGCACTTTTCCCACGGCTCTGGGGCGTTCAAGATCTCAAGCTTTTTCTCAAGAGTTTTACCAGTTAGTGGGTTGGGGCAGGCAGAGCCAAAGCTCCAGTGAGCACGGTGGCAATGAGGAGGGTGTGCTTTATGTTGAGAAGTTGAGGGACGACTGTGTTTGAACAAGATTGTTTAGTCAATCTTTGGTGATGGATACTCGAATTGAGAGATATTGCTAGACTTGCAATTGAAGAAATTGAGATCTTGGAATGGATGCGTGAAATCAATCTACAGTCTTAGGTGTTCACGGCCAGCTTTTAAGGTAGTCCCAACAGTGACATGTCTTACTGTAACGCTTATGTGTGCCGCTGATCTGTTTGCAATGATGTACTGCAAATGAGTGGGTTATACATCTCCGTGTGAGATCCTTTAAAGGAGCTTCTACATTGTGCATATACAGCTTGGAGTGACTAGTGGGCCGGGTTCGGTCGGGCCCGGTGCGATGAAGATACGAGCTCCTTCCTCCCCACGTATGGGTCCTGAATCAGAGACTACGGCTAGTAAGATGATATTATCTCTTCCTACACTTTCCGTGTCTGATGCGGGATTGCTGATTATCTAGAGCACTTCTGGTATGAGCTCTGAATCCTGTTTTCCAACTGTATTAACCCGGAAGCAGTCTCCCAGATTAATTTGATCACTGCTGAGAGAGTTGCTGCCTCTTTTTCCCACCTTTCTTCAAACCTTCTTGCTGTTTCAATAAGTTTCTGTGTGGTTGTGAAACTTTCGAATCCTACCTGACTTTTTCTCTTGAACTCAATTGCTCCCTCATTCACTACAATGCTCTACAACATGGCTAAACTTTTCAAATATGCCAGCATACAAGACCAAGATGTGACAGCAATCATTAAGTCGAACCCGACTGAACGGCAAGATGAAGGGTGTTATCTCCAAGATCTGTTGATTAGAGCGAGCCGTGCCACGGACTCAAGGTTCACTGTAGCTATCAAAAGTGAATATTATATCTTCCATGCAGCTCGTGTCACAGATACTTCGGTATTGGAGATAGAGGACGCAGTCTCGATCCTCAATGAATTCGTGCGATCAGGAAGCGGCACTTCCATCTCAACTTTCTATAAATCCGATGATGACCTTTCGTCCCTTCTCGACAAATCATCGATCCACAGCTGTTTGGTCACCCTATCCCATGCGTGTGGACCTTTCTTCGACTCTTTGTCACTACCGATTGCGGATCTGGAGCTATTGAATGGCCCTTCAAATTAACTAAGGCAACAACGCATGTCCGCTTCAGTCAAGAAGACCGTTCATTCTTTGAGTAGTGCCTGGAAGGACCATACAGCAGTGCGTGTTTCATTTTGGATAGTAATCGGCGCACTATTCTTGATTGCCATTGATATGAGTCACAAAACCTTCTCTCAACCCTTTCACCAACATTTCGAAAACGGTATCTGGGTTCGTTATGACCTCCAAGGTAGCAAAGGACCAAAATACCAACTACAATTTACACATCACAATGCTTCCACTTAGGCAGCCAACAACCCTCACTGACTGCGGCCTCCCCAATGAATTGCGCACAATGCGTTGTATACCCATATTCGATAAAAGTCGGGACCAACCCCAGTCCACCCTTCATGACCGAGCAATGAGGTGTCCTCCACGTCCCCAATTAGTGAAGCACATGATAGCGATGCTCCGTCCAGACCTGCGTATGCGTACTGACACCTGATAAAGTGAATCAGGGACCATATGTTTGCCTAGATCGAAGCAGAGTGGCCAAACGGCACATTGGAGAACATTCAGGAAGGGAGCGCTCCCTACTTAGCAGCGGGAAACAACGATATGCTTATACTGCATGCCGCGGGAAGAATTTAGAATCAATTGTTCGCGGAACCATGCCTGCTCTCCAGGTTCTCTTACAGAATCACATGCTCGACCACTTATATGTGGAAGAAGTTAGCTTTGCCGATGGCAATATTGATCTCGCGCTCCTGATGAAGCAACTTGCACACCGATACCCGCGTATGAATATTGCTGGAATCGGAGCTGGAACAGGTGGTACTACTTGAAGTGTGCTTGAGGCTCTGGGGGATAAATACGCATCATGTCTCTATACTGACATCTCAGCAGGCTTCTTTGAGCCAGCAGGGGCAAAATTCAGCCAACATGCTGGAAAAGCCTCATTCAAGATGCTGAACATTGGAAAAGATCCAACTGAGCAAGGATACGAGCGCTGATCATTCGACATGGTTAAAGCCTCCAGTTACCTGCACGCGACTCGAAACATAAAAGATACACTCAATCACTGTCACAACCTGCTTCGACCTGGCGGATACTTGGTTCTACTCGAAATCACAACCAAGCATCTTCCAACACAACTCATCATTGGAACACTTCCTTAATGGTGGCTTGACATCGATGAAGGTTGCATTTGGCAACCCACACTCAGTGTGGAGGAATGGGACAGGGCGCTCAAAGGAACTGGATTTTCAGCTGTCAAAACAAGCTCAACCCCTTCCTTCTGTTCCGTCATCTTGTCGCAGGCAGTTGAGGAGACTTTCAAGGCACTCCGAGAGCCACTTTCTGTCGACTCACGTCTAGCAGGCAAGCCACTTGGCCAAGTGTTGGTCGTCAGTGATGTGGTGTCAAAGCTTGTATCCAGATCGCAGCCACTTCTTTCTTCCATTGAGAGTGTTACCCAATGCGATCTTGTAGGCCTTGAGGACATCCAGTGTCCTGTTGGAGTAACTATGCTCTGTCTTTGCGACCTGGATAGCCCTGTGTTCGGCGATGTGAATGAAGCGAGATTCTGGTCTATGCAATTTGTATTCTGCAACGCCAGTACTGTCCTGTCAGTGGTATCGGGCGCGACTTCGGGCCAGAATCAACTGGCTACTGTGACAGTAGGATTGGGATGCACGCTGCTGGCTGAACATAGGGACCTACGGCTTCAATTCCTTGGTGTTGCTAACCCAAAATCTCTTGAACCATCCTTGCTGGCAAACCTTCTTCTCAGACTCACTGTCACGGGCCAGCCCAATCAGAGCGAAATACTCTAGACTCACAAACCCCTTCTCGCACTCAGAGGCGGTGCGTTCTATATTGCCAGAGTAGTTTCTCTATATAGCTTCAATGCTCGGTCCGCAGCCAAAGGCAGCCAAGCCACCCAGGTGACAGGCCAAGAGACCACCAGTCAAGTCACCACTGAAGCTACTCTCAACGGACACAAAGATATATTCGCTCCTGATAAGACCTACATTCTTTTTGGTATGATGGGTGACCTTGGGATCTCTATTGCTTGATGAATAGTGGAAAACGGGGCTCGAAATGTCATGTTGGCCAGCCGACATCCCGAAATCCTGGCCAGTGTCCGAGTTCATGTCTCACCTGGAAGTTTTGCTACGTGTTGTATCAGTGGATATTACAAACAAGGAAGGCTTGAAAGCGGTATGCACAGAGATCAAACCTACTCTACCGCCGATTGGAAGTATCATCAATGGTGCCATGGTGCTTCGGGACCGCATCTTCGCCGACACGTCCTGGAGCGACTTCGCGGAGGTGCTGGCACAGAATACGGCAGGAACTTGCAGCCTTGACGAGCTCTTCGGTGAAGATGAGGCGTTGGAATTCTTCATAATGCTTTCGTCTGCAACGTTGATTGTTAGAACTCGTGGCCGGTCCGCTTACAGCGCGGCGAACCATTACATGTCAAGCCTCGTGCAAAATGGCCGGATTCGTGGATTGGCGGGCTCCGTCGTCACCAGTGGTTTCCTGATGGGACTGGGCTACATTTTACGTTGGGAAGTAAAACACCGCTCTACCATTGAGAAGTCTCTTTAACCACTACTGGATAGGCAAGCAGACACTGGTCTGCACGAGATGCTGGCCATGGCCACGCTACGCCACGTCCCTGTACGCTTCGTCACGTTATCACCGGTAGCCATGCTCCAAAAGGATATTGTCTACTTGGCTGAGGTACTATCGTCCACCTTCTGGCTGCTAGCCAATGCTGAATCGCTAATGAGAAACGTTATCAGGTATGCTGCTAGCATGTGGATGGATGAAATACTGCTGGAGCGGGCAAGCGATGTTCCGGGCGTTGTGCACCGCTTTCCCCAACATCATGGGACTGGATGCGCTAGAAGAAATCGACGTTGGCGCGATTATTGGGTATTGGGGACGGCATAGCAGGAACGAGTACTTATTTGTAGCTGTCATGTGAACTAACGGATTCATCTGAAGGTTCTTGTGCGAGTGCCAGCTAAGTCTGGTTTTTTATACCGAATCCCTCGCATCAGGCCTTCCATCATCTTATTCTGTTACTTGGCACCTACCGCTGTACCTATAACATATGGGAAGCTACGCCCTCACGCTTACAGAACAAGAAAGGCATGAAGAAAGAAGGGGTATAAAGATAAATATTGTCATTTACAATTCTAGTTATAATAAAAAGCTATGAAGACGCTTACATGCGATAATACATACACATTAGAAAACAAAAGTCCCGTCTTCGAAACTATCGATTCATACAACCTAAAGGTCTTTACAAGCTCAGTAGAGGCACTTCTTGGGCTCGGCCTCCTTGAGTGCCTTCATGGTGAAGGGAGTGCATCCCTCAGAACCAGCAGGCTTGTCTACACCAGAGAGCCAGATCTTCCAGCCTCCGCCAACAGCACCGGGGCAAGCCTGGAAGCCAACGTCGCCGTTCAGACCACCAGCAGCGAAGACGAGATCACCTTCGTCGTTAATCTTGAAGGGGCCGCGCTCCTGGTTCTTGCCGATGGGCTCGACACCGGTGGTGTAGCGGAGGTTGCCCTGGCCCATGCCGCTGCGGTCGACGTACAGCTGAAGAGGGGGGTTGAATGTGTAGATGTAGACGCTGCCGTTATCCTGGTCGAGCGTGAAGGAGGCGTAGTTGATACCGCTGGTGACGTTTTCGCGGTCGCCGTTGATGGCGCAGGTCTTGTTGTTCTGGTCGGGCGAATTGATGACGAGGCTGCCATCCTTGGCCTGGACGTTGCCGTACTGGATTTCGGTGCCGGTGCGCAGAGACATCAGACGGAAGACGTCGCCGGCCTCGGGGCGAGGGAAGGGAGTAGAGGCCTGGGGAAGGGCGGAGGAGATGGCGGCCATGGAGGCGGCGGCGGCGGCGACGGTGAACTTCATGTTGATGGTTTGGAGGTGGTGTTGTTGAAGTGTGGAAGTGATAGTTGTGATGAAGTATTAATGTAGAGTTGATGAGTTGATGTTTGGATGGGAGGACAAAGAGAGCAGCATTCCATCTCTCATATATACCAATGCCATCTCGTATTTCCTCCCCTAATCTTGCATCATGTTACGATCGAAGTTTGTCTTCAGCGAGGCTGACAGGGCCCACGCTCGGCGCCGACGGCCAAAGTGCAACGTTATGACTTCATTCAGCGATCAATTATCGTATCCCCAGTTTTATGACCCTGAAATGGCCAGCACCGGCTGTGGCGCGGCCCTCACCCATGACCGTCTAAGAAGGAGGCGGACGGAAATGACGCATGATTGCCACTGCATTTACCCGAAACGCTTGGCAAATGGCCGAAGGAGGTAAAGCGCAACCCTTCCTCAGACTCTGATTGGTGACAGCCTCGGCCGGCGCGCCGCTCAAAATAGAAACAGTAATGTCGTCTCCAGAAAACAATCATGCCGAGGTTATGCCTTTCAAACTAAACGTTTACGTTAGGAGACAGACGCCTCTAGTTATGTAAACACTCTGGCAGATCACAACACGATGTTACTCTTCGCTCGTAAAGGTGGGTTCCAATAACCGGCAGTGTTTGCAACTGTGCTTGGACAACTGTTTTGAGAATATTGTCAAGGCATAATCTTCAAAGCACGGTTAAGGCGCAATAATAAGTGTAATTTGCGCAAGATTGGATTGAAGTCTTGTCCCACTGAAGACCGACATGCTCTTCCCTGATACCCTGATAGTTATTCCATAGAGAACAAACTTTTGTTCTATTTTTGTGACCCGCCATTTTAGTTCGCAAGGCTTATCCCCTAAGGTTTAGAACACAACCTTATGCTTAATCCTTGGTGGATGACAGCTGCAACTTAAGTGTAACGTATGTGGCAAGCGAGTGGCGCAGGCAAGCGAGCAACGCACCTTACTAACTTTGCTCACCTCTTTAATCTAACTTATATAAAGCGGTGAAAGAGCATACTGTGCACAGGCACAGTAGACTACTCAATTCCCCGACGCGCAAGTAGCCAATCAGCCACTGTTAACAGCCCTACATTGCGACTGCACGCCGCTATCGGACCGTCTAGCTTTTTATGTGCCAGACAAAGCCAAACATAGACGTCGGGAACAACAGGAGGCAAAAGTCAGACGCAGATGAGCGCAATCCTAGAGAGGTGAGGCCAGGAACTGGCGTGACGATCAGCAGAGGATTGCGCGAGCAACTCATTACTAAGAGCTAGCTTAGACAGCCAGCAAAAGCTACTAGCGCTCGTATCGGAAGTACTCTCATCTACCATATTGCGTGTCGTCACAATGCAAGCACGTTCGACCAAATTCATTCGGGACATCGCCAAGTACTCACCTTTTTAGATCTATGCGATTTTGACCTAATTTGCACAAGATGTTTGAACATCTGAGATACCCCGATGCTATAGTCGTCCTAGATAGTAAATGACTACCTGTTCATATGCCCCTCGTCTGCAAACAAAGCGAATACTTTGAAAAGGCGTTTGAGGAGGTGTTTGAGTACTTGTACGCAGGTGAATATTTGGACGATCTATCGCATTGCTTCGAAGGTACGGTACTACCTGAGCAACTGCACTCGATTTTCTAACGACTGCTAGATGACCCTCCGCTGCTGAAACAGCCTTATGTATATGCCTCATGTTCCTGTTAGAGGACTTAAAAGCCCTTGCTATAGTAAAACTGCAGCAAAAGTTATAGGATCTCTAGATAAGCGAATCCTGTATAGAATATACTTAAGAGATATATGCAACTACTCTAGAGAACGATTGTACAATGCGGTCTGCTATAATTGATGTTGCAACAGAGTACGTAAGCGAACTGGGCAGGAAGGCCCTATACAAGAATCTCATTCGCGAGGGTGGCGATTTTCCTGTCGACTACTTTACAAGTGTTGTTTTTCCACAGCGTCCTGCAAACTCCTCTACCCATTCCCAACCGAGCGATTTCTTTGGTAGTACACTCAGTGGTACAAACAGGACCTATCCTACATGAAGGTAATATGGCAGTCTGAACGCAACGCTGTCTTGCCAAACCTTGTCTCGAGCTAAATAGGTCTTGAGCTAGGAAGGGTACTGGATTGTTAGCTTCACGGCCGAATAGCATTGTGGCGGGGACACGAGACTACAACAATGCAGTGGCCGCTATTGTGTGGAAATAGATGAAGCAACACATCTGTACGGTATGCTGGTACTTGGATAGAACATATGTTGACGATGGAACAAATCCACAACGTCTGTGTGACGTAATGTCGCCGCTGTGGCTGTGGTCGTGCATTGTTGTGTTGGAAAGACGGCTCGCAGGCGTTGCAGCAACTGCGAGGTGCTGTCAGACCGCGAAGTACGGGACACAAAGCCTACATGGTCGGTAAATTACAGCGAATGCAATCTGCATGTCGGCGCTGGGTTACTAACCAAATCTTCCATCATAAGCAAAGTTGCCAGTACGCGAGAGATCGCGTCGCATCACGTCTCATCCTTCCTTTCTCGATGCTGAGACGGCGAGAGTAATCACAACACAGCTTCATGCAAGACGACAGGCTTTTCTTATGGCTAGCAAAGAAGTTGAATGGATGAGATGAAATGAAGCTGCTGGGTATTAGCTCAACCAAATCGTCAGTGAATATGGGACCTACCTCGCGAGGGTTGTCATCATTTGTGCACGCAGTCTTGGGTATATGTAGTAGCGAGTAATTTGAATCGGGAGTAAGTCATTGAAAAACGTAAGAAGTTAGAGACGAGACAGCAGGATGCGGGGTTATGCAGCGAACACGAGCGATTTGGCTGTATGAGGCTTAGCGTTATCATGCAGTGACAGCGCTGGTGAGGCATCTATGCAGACCAGGAAAGTATAGGCGTGGGGAAATTGCAGTGTTGACATCTTACATGGGACAATTGAGGGTACTGAAAGACATGTTAGCTGAGGTGGTAGACCTCATTATTGGGGAGAAAGATTTGGAGGAATTGTGTGCCTCGGATGCCGAGGCGGATACGAGAGATAGCGGTATGAAGAAGGAGCGGTCGATGCAAAGGCGACAGTGGAAGCAGCAGCACCACCACCAAATGGTTGGAAAAGGAAAATTGTTGGATGGATTGAGAGTGGCCAGCGTGGATAATTTTCAGGTAAGAGATATGAGTTGTGGAGAAATTGTTCTGGGCAACTAAAAACTCACACTGCTTGTTCACTAGGGCGAAGAGGCGACCGCCATTATAGTCTCCCTTGTACGAAGCAACAAATACCAGAATTGCGGATTTCTCAAGACGCCCAACAGAATCAACGTTCTCCTAAGGTAAATATGTGAGTTTCCCATTCTACACCTGTTTATCCAGTAATAAGTCAGTAACTTTGCCTCTCATTTGCAGTCGCGCAAAACACGGTATGTACATAATTGGCGACGCCAAAACCTCATATCACGTCCTAATGTGGTCGTCTGTCATTTAACTACTAGAGAAAAGTGGCAATATCGGTCCGAAACTCGAACTTCGGTGCTCCCGTCACCCCGATAACAAGATCTATGTCTCCTCCCCCGACGACTTTGCCATCCATGTCCCAGAGGGTGGATGTGCAGAGAAATGCGGACTGAGATTAAGCTGCGGGCATAGTTGCGCGATGAAGTGCCACTCAACAACACTGCATGAAGCGGTTAAATGCATGCAGTTGTGCACAAGGGTAAGGAAGTGTGGACATCCGTGTTCGAAGAAGTGCAACAATCCGTGCGGTGAATGCTACGAAAAGATCCTAAATGTTCTACTTCCATGCGGACATGAAACCAAAGAGGTGGAATGCCGAAACATAAAAAATCTTGCTGGCGTAAAATGCGAACATCCTGTGGAGCGAGAGATGCCCGGGTGTGGCCACCTTCTCAGGATACCTTGCCACAAGAATACGAACGATATCAAATGTTTGCATTCATGCGACAGCTTACTCTCTTGCGGACACAATTGCCGAAAGCCACGTTGGAATTGTATGCAGAATAATGATCACGGTTCTTGCAGTATTCTATGCGGACGATTATTTACAACTTGTTCGCACTGCTACAATCATCCATGTCACGACGGCGTTCTATGTTCTCCCTACAATATGCCCTATGATACACGTTGCAAGCATAGCAGATACCCTAAGACATGTAGCGACCTGTGTGACCCTTGCGCGGAGCAATGTGGATGGAGTTGCGATCATCAACGCGGTCACTGCAGTATGCCGTGTGCGGTCCTATGTGATATCCTTTCTTGCGATCATCGCTGCGAAAAGAACTTTGTATCTTGTGGACATCAATGCCCTGGGGTTTGTGGCGAGGCCTGTCCGGATTCCAAGTTTTGCCGAATCTGCTGTGCGCCAGATATTCTTAAGCAATATGTCGATATTGTTATGTTCAGAAGATACGGCGAAATTGAGATTGATGAGGACCCATTAATATTCCTCTCTTGTGGACACTTCTATACAGTCTCCACCATTGATGGAATTATGGAGTTGACTCAGCACTATGTCACTGACTTTCGAACTGGCAAGATTGTGGGCCTGAAATTATCGCAATGGGTAGTAAAATCTGGGAGCGCGCCTAAAGGATGCCCAGTCTGCCGCAAGCCACTTAGAGATATCTACCGCTATAATCGGATTATCAAGTAGGCATTTTTGGAGGAAGCAACGAGAAGGTTTGATGCAAAAGCGAATTCAAGGTGTGCGGAGCTCGCGGAGAAGATTCAAAATCGAGAGATGGACATTGAGGGGGAAAGAAGCGAGTTCGTGCTGCAATGGTTGCGAGGATGTGGTGAATCAAGAGACTTGGATCAAGTTAAGCATGCCCTGGAGGCATACCAAGTAGAGGGAATCAGGCTCCAGAAGGACATCACAAAATTCGCGAAATCTGTGGAAAAGACAGACCAGCCTTTCGGGAGGGTCAACAATTTGCTTTCCGCTGCAATCGCCAGACAGCGCGATATAACAACAGACGCCCTCGAGTTTGATGAATCAGTTATCCAAACTGGATTCCAATTTCGTGGCCAATATTTGAGTCTTCGTCTCAGCTGGGCCATCCTTTGGGATTTTGACACAATCTACAGTAACGACTCCGTCGACCCACGTATTCGTTCGGCATTGCGCAATAAGATGGCATCCCAGATTAGAGGGTTTTTGGATAAATGTTCCTCACTCGTAAATGCGAGTCGGAATGCCAAATTTCCACAACAAGAAGCAGAAGCTTGGATCTATCGTGCGTTATTCTCCGTGCTCTTACGTAGCAATTCTGGGTCGCAAGGCCAATCCATGGACAAAGTTACCGAGGTTTCTGAGGAGAGCTTGGGGGAATTTGAAAGACTCTTTTCGCGACATCCAGGTGGTTTGGCATATCTCAAGAACGATGCTGAACAGGCGAGAAGGCTGGCAAATGGTGGCACGTTTTATACAATGGTAACGGCAGAGGAAAAACGAGAGGTCTATAGGGCTATGGCCAGGCAGTTTTCAGGGACAGACCATTGGTATTATTGTCGGAATAATCACCCTGTAAGACCCTTCCGAATTATACACCTTGGGAAACCCGGATGTAGATTACTAACTACCATTTGAATCACAGTTCATGGTAGGGGAATGCGGAATGCGAATGGAAGAAGCTCGATGTCCAAAATGCGAAGAGCCCATTGGAGGCTATGATCACGCTCTTGTCCAAGAGGTTCAGAGAGTGGAAGATATCGAGTATGGATTTTCTTAGTTAGGTTATAAATTATTGAGAATGTTTTCTACCCGTATAGAAGTGTTTTAGCACAATACATAATTGAGCCTATTAAATTTAGAAGCGACCTACCCCTAACATGGAATAAAGTTGAAGTTTTAACAATTAATCTATTACATAAAGGAATAGAATTCTCTTCTCAAGATATACTATGTATAAATTATAGAAATATACTATAGAGTATTAGATCTGTTTATTTAAAGCTATAATAGGTAGACTAAATCCGGTCTAGCACGCAGCTACTCGCGCCGTCCAATTGACTAAAAGGTTAGCACAAGACAACAAGTTTATCTTGTCATCTTGGTAGCTAGATATATGCTCGATCTTAGCGTACGAATCGTACGCTAACATAGCTTGGCCATACCAAGCTATTACGGGCGTAGCTTAATATAAATATTAAACTCACTCTAGATATTTGTAACGGCTCTGTGAATTACGCTACCAACATCCGAGTAGGATCCGAACTAGGGTACGATCGGGCCTAGCGAAAAAACTGCCGATGCAAATACCCAACCTCTCCCATAGTTGTTTAGTGGACTTTTGGGATCCTTCCATGTAAGGCCTATAGGTGTTTAATTAGATTCTTGGCTTGTTTATGTCCCACGCATTCCCATATGCCTCTGAGTGACCTTATGGCCGAAACGTATCCGATAGTCCTTGCCCGCGCCGTTACAACATTAACTTCTATATTATATCTCTCTTTAACCTTATATCTTTACCTATCTCTCTATATTAAACTAGAATATATACTAAGATAAGGTAATAGAATTTAAGATAGATAGAGACTTTATGTCACAATACCCAGAACTGGAGGATAACCCTCGGGGATCCATCGGGTACCCCTCGCGCCAGCGAAGCTACAGTCATGTAGAGTCGCCAGTACTTCTAAGCGCTTAGGTAAGTATATCTTCTGCAGTAGAAACAAAAGTTGAATTCGTTGACTTATTTCTACCTAACACTTAACAGCTTTTCTTCTTCGCTGAACCAGCCCCCTTCAACTTGGCTCACATCCCTTCGCCATTTCGAACTGGCCCCGCGTGCCTTGAAAAATTGCATCTTGACTTAGAGTCCGTCCCCACACCACTTGGTTCCGGCACAGCAGCGGTAAGAGCTAATCTTATTGTTCCAGTTTTTCATATCAGGCTTTGCTTGGCTCTGGAAAGTGCCCGTATGATCCTTCTGGCACGAATATTTACTATCACAGAGATGAGACACTTGGATAACGACACGTCTGAATAGACGACGGAGAAATTGGCACTTACTCCCAGAAAACGCAAATGGTATTAGCTGGAACAACTACGGATTGAGTCCGGTCATTGAAATCCGGCGAAAGGCTTACTGCGATACAAGGCGGAATTAGCATCTTGAGGACATAGATATGAGGTAGGGAAGAACTGTCTCCCAATTAAGAAAGTCAACATAGGGATATACATACCACAATCTCCCGAGAAAGAGTTGCGAGTCTCACAATCAGCGTAGTTTTTCTCCTTGCAATACTGGATGGAGACAATATCAGCGCGGGCCTCGAGGGCAGTCATCTCGACCTTGCGAGCCTCGGTTGGAGCATCCGGGCTGAAGATGACTCCAGCTGTTGCCAAAGTGGCGAGAGAGATGATTGTGAGTAAGAATCTCATGTTTGTGAAGATGGTAGAGAAGCTTGGTAGTTTCGGATGTGGTGGAGAGGTATTTCATCATGGAGCAAACAACACTTTATAGTTTTCTCGATACTCATCTGTAGAGTATTTTCCCAATAATAATGCCTCCCTTTTCCAACTCCCCTGAAGCTATGATTTGCTGAATCGGTATCAGCACGATTTGCTATATTTTCGATCAGCAATACGAAGGCAACCCTGGCTTGCAACAGCAGATACGAAGCTTCCTAAGCATTCGTCACATCTCCAAGACTTTGAGCTGGAAAATGCTGTTACGGATGATAGTCCTTGACAATAGAAGTTGCCAGGGGTTTAGTCGTGAGGCTGGACAGTGCTTATGACAGATGAGCTACATCTCACTTTCGCAGCCTCTAATAGGCATAGTGATGTTGTGCTAATGCGCATTAATATATAAAAGGTAAAGCATTTCGCATTAGCAACTGCGGAAACTAAGGTTATTTAAAGCCTAGTGAACTCTAATGTAGTTGTATGGACTGCGGGCGAAACATTGCTACTCATGGGGGATCAGAAAATCGTCAGGCGACTAGGTCATACTTTGCAGCTTCAGCTTACTCAGGAACGCCACCTATACCTATCGGGAATCTTAGATCTGTTAATAGGTATAGGTACTATCGCTTGAAGTCAGCCTCATGATATAGTATGCCGACTTTTATTGGTGCCCAGCCGGAAGTAAGACGATGGTTCGATGAAGGCGACGCACACCCTTGACATACTATACCGATTCTATGAAAATTATGTAGGCCTAGGACCCTATGATGCTCACTCGAGGTATGCATGCCCGTTGGAGAAGCGCGGGGTGAAGTTTGATATCCTATTTCGGCGAACTCTGCATGCCCTATGTATGCCATTTCTTACGGCTGTTGACCGCTGGTTACTATCTATTCACGCCTGTGATCACTCGCCCGCTCTGTAGCGATTATGAACGTAGCGAAGTATGAGATCTAGTGCCGTCCGCTATCCACGTGAAGCGCTTTTTATTGGTGGATAGCTCGTTATAGTCTTGGATAGTGTGGTGTTTTGGATTACGATGTTCGTTCAGCCGCACGTACAGCGAGTCACTACTAGATCCGGCCTAAACTCGCTACCTAGGTCGAGCAAGAAATAGCTACATAGTTCATGCTAGTGGCCGGATCACCGAAAGTTAGTGAGTCTACCAATATTGCCATCCCTAATTGGCGAGTTGCACGCCGTGCCGACTGCGGCGAAATCAAGGTTAAGGCACAACGGCCGGATTAGGTCTTGCCTACACCTCCTCCTCACACGAGCTTATCCGTGCCAAGGCTTAGCTTATTACTAAGCCAAGCCTTAGCAGGGATATAGGGTTGCTAATCCTGTACGTGGTTACTCAGCAATATCAAAGCTGCGTGCCAAGAGAGGAACGCATTGTAGGATGCATTCCCCACCGATCGATGATAGTGGGCCTCCGCAGCTCAAGGCTGTGAGGCGGCTGGAACTGGCACGTTATTCCTCTTATCACACACTAACTTTTCACTCCAAAGTACCCTTCTGATAATCTTTTCCCCAGCGTAACGAAATATCCTCTCTAAGCAACACATTTACAAGTGGCATGCACGTTGCTTATGTACTCTATTCGCAACAACATCTCTCATCGGACAAAGGGTTAAAGCAGCTAGTAGATAGCGAAACTTCTGAGAAGAAAATTAAAGATTGAAAGTAGGGCAAGAGTTGAGTAACGGGCTGAACGCCCTTTGGATAGCTCCTTGATAGAATCTCGGTTCAAGCTGCGCGCGCGCCATCCGAACTACGTTCAGATGACGAGCGTACAATCCAGGTGTTACCCTGAGCACCCAGATTCTACTCACCGTTCGAGCAGCGCTTAGATAACGCGCTTATATACTTCGGCATAACCTTTCTCTAATAACGTGCGGGATCAGTAAGCTGGGCACCCCGCCCAACCTAACCCGACGCTCTGCGCAATTGCTCTATAACAACGCAATGTAATAGAATAAAATAGAATAAAATTAAGAGATATTATTCTTTAGATAGATTTACATGAGGTCTGAGTATGCCCTTGAACGTGGCACTTCGTACACGTCGGCGGTGCGCGCTGATGTTGCTCACCAGCCTAGCTCTAACTAGCCTCCATCACCACCCTTTCTGCCTCTGCAGCCACCTGCTAAGCCTATTAGACCTAGAGCACTCTACTAGAAGCAATATATTAACGCTGCTAACTCTGCTTTTATCGTTGACGCTGGACTTCTGTACGTAGCTTCTTATTCTCCTCTATAAGTATTATTGTTGATTACATTATAAGCTAAGCGCTTTTAGCGAGCTTACGTATTACAACGCTTATTAGGCTCTCTAACTATTAACGTAGTCGCTCTTAGAGATAGCGCACCTACTGCTAAAGCTCTACTACTGTATTTAGTGTCTATCTGCGCTACTGCCTGCGCTGCTATCTATAGTGGAGACGGTGTTCTAGTGTTAAGAGTATAGCTCGAGTGTAAGTAATATTAGACTTCTGGTGTCAAGCTTCTTGTTGGTTGGTTTTCGCAGATAGAGAGAAAGTGTACATTGAACAGTAACTTCGGCAAGTATAATGTTGTATTATACTTATACTCGTAACTTAAATTAAACATATTAAGCTATAAGGGCTTAATGCCTAATGCTATATACTAAGTAAGTGTTGTGCTCGTTAGTGAGCATTGCTTACTAGTGAGTGCTCGTTTTTGAGCATCTTGCCAAGTATTGCTTGTTGGTGAGCACCAGAGTGCTAAGCACCTGCTCACTAGTGAGCGCTTATTATTGAATAGTTATATGATAACTATCCCTAAAGAGTGTGGGTCGTTTTCCTGTGGCTATTTCGCCTTCTCGTGTACTACTCGTTCAACAAATGTAACGGCGAGATACCCTTGGTATTCTAAGGCTGATCGTAACACGTATATACTTTTGCTTAGGTTTACTTATAGTACTTTAAGGTTTTCTACTATTATTTAATAGATAGTATTAGAATAAGAAAGGTGCTACTTGTTCTATAGCTAGCTCAGAGATAGAGTTGTCTACTTTTCTAGCGATAGACTCAGAGGTAGCGAATCGATAGGTTCTATGTAGAAAAGAAATAATACTAGGGGAGAGAGATTGAAGAATTAGATTGATCCGATCTGTTCTTATTGTCTTGCTCTGGTAATCTGCTCTTGTAGTCTTCTCTAGTTTCTATCTAATAGCTATTCTACTGCTATATATATTAGCTGTACTAGATTCTGGAAGAATCTATCTAGTAGTAGATTACGTGGCTATAGACGTAATAGATAGATAAATTAGTTTAGGGATCGATTGATTGAAGAATCCGGGTGTGGTACCGAGCACCCGGATTATGCCAGAGATCAGCTGATTAGCTTAGATCTCTAACACCCTTTGGTCTCCAACCTGCGACCAACGCCAAAGAGAGAATCCTGCGTGTTACTTGCAATAAGTATATTATAAGCGACGTTATAGATAGCTATAGCGTATTACTCTAAGAGATTTAAATTTTATTCAAGAGCGTAAAGGGTAAGCCATATCTAATATTTAGTAGAGGGCTCGAACTACTATTATTATTAAGATATTAGAGTGGAGTAGTAGTTTTAGTGAGGGCTTGGTAAAAGTGGGCCACTCGCCCGTGAGGTACGTTAATGGTTTATTTATTAATTCGTAGTTCTGCTACAAAGGGAAGAGGCTGGATTCGGTGTTGAACAAGTCGGGTATGATCCCCGCGCTACTCAGTCTTAGGCCCACTCTACCTCCACTATACCCACTTCTCGGTAGAGCCTTAGCGTAGGTTTGCACGGTGGAATTTTCGGGAAAATAGCTGCACAGATGCTGCACATCACCACGTGTATCCAAAATTCCACCTACCACATACCCCACAAGGACTATCAACAGATCTCATTATTTCCCTAGCTCCCAGGGTGCATACATCGTCTCCTTCAAGCCCTTTTCTACCCACCGGCTAAAGTATTTTCATCTTCATCAACAGTAGCAGCACCTGGTACAAATAGTTAAGGTATGTTCCTTGTAAATACTGAAGGCCCGTCCTTGCGTTTCCATATCCTACTTTTTTCAATCCTTCAGCTAAGAGCTGTTTCCCTTCTGGGGCAATCGTCTTGATCGTTAATCGCAATGTCGAGTATCATCTTTTCACAAATGGGACCCTCGTTCTACTCTTGTGTATTCTTCTTCTTCTTCTGCCTACTAGGTAGCGTGATTCCCCTTGTCGCCGGCCAGACGCGACCGAGTTACCATATAATTCCCCAAACTAAATGAATGAACGACCCTCAACGTCCATTCTTTGTGAGAGGTGAATACCATCTCTATTACCTCTGGAACTCCGATTGGAACACGTCGCATTCCACAGGGGGCGGAACAGAGTGGTATCACGTTACTAGCTATGACATGGTGCATTGGACTCGCCAGGGTGTGGCGATTCGGAAATACCAACCCAACCCTTCCAGTGGTGTGATCTTGGGCGACCTCTGGAGTGGCAGCTGTGTAGTTGATACACGCAACTCAACCGGCTTTGGTCAAGACGCAGTTATTGTTATTGTCACTCAAGCGCAAGACGACATCCAACAGCAGTCTCTTTTTTATTCCCAGGACACCGGGTACACTTTCAGTGCATATGACAAGAACCCTATACTCCCAAATCCTGGTCCGGAAGCCAAACCAGCGTTTCGAGATCCTAAAGTTATCTGGGATGACAAAGCAGGGCATTGGGTCACTGCACTCGCAGAAGGAAGCAAAATCGGCTTCTATACGTCGTCGGATCTTAAAATTTGGAACTATGTATCGGGTTTCTCGCCTATAGACTCCGGTGTTGACTTGGGTCTGCTCGAATGTCCAGATTTGTATCAAATCGACCTTGATGGCAACACCACGGCACGTGTTTGGATCCTCGCTGCCAGTGCTAATGGATATTTACATGGGAAGACGACAGGTACGGTTTACTGGGTCGGAACCTGGAACGGAACCCATTTTACAACCAGGAACAGCTTCCCGCAGTGGATGGATGAAGGTCCGGACTTTTACGCCACCGTCAGCTGGGAGAATCCCAACGATAAATATGGCAGCCGCTATGCCATTGGCTGGATGAACAATTGGGAGTACGCTAACACGTTGCCGTATTATAATGACTATGCAGGTCAGATGAGTTTAGTACGGGAGGTCAAATACCGGACAATAAATGGAATTCCTGCTTTGGTAAGCCTTCCAATTGCGGGGTATGATGCTGTCTTTTCAAGACAAGTTTCAGTTTACGGGACGACGATCACAACAGACCCGGCGACAGCATCACTTCCTGCCAATCTCACCAGAGGTGCCTATGTCATTCGAGCCAAAATCTCCAAGGCTCGTTATGATGATGGTAACCAAGTTCATATCCGCATAAAATCAAATGAGGGTTACAACACAACAATCGGTTATGACTTTGCCGAAGCCCGTGCATTTTTAGCTAGAGACTCTGACGGCACCGCTTCGGATGCTTTGGGATCGGAACCGAAAAAGGTTTGGGACGCGGTACGCAGTGGGGTGAATCATGCTGGTGGGAGCACAGTTCAACTGGCAATTTATGTCGATTATAATTCGGTTGAGGTGTTCGTGAACGAGGGTGTCCCAACGTTATCAGGGCTCATCTACCCAAATCAAGGCGCAGAGGGGATTGAAATTGTGTCAGATGTCGGAAACTTAACCTTGACTTTGTTGACTTGTGCTAGCTTCACAGGTTAGCTACTGCCGCAATAGCAACACTAGTCTGGCAAACGGGTAGGACCCACATTTTTTTCAAAAATTCATAATTAATTCCACGCTAGTCCAAATCGCGCTAATAGTGGCTCATTTTACTCCGCTGGCCTAGCGCATTCTATCATGTAATACACTACTAAGCCGTATCTCTTATAATTAAAAAGTTATTTAGCAACCAGAATTTTGGAAGTTCGGGTCGGGTAGGCCCTCGGGTACCCCCCTAAAAGTAGCTCTTTTTTAGTTTCAACTCTATAGTCTAAAACATATTCAAAAACTTTCTATACATAAGCTAAAGTACTACTTAAAAGCTTTAAAATAAGCTATTGATCATCTACTTTGAACTAGTAATCGCTAAGATATTTAGTAACGCGACTTAGTAACCCGAAGGCAACCCGTTTGCCAGCCTAAGGGTAACTAAGAGAGTCTTCTTCTGTCGCCCTAATAGTAGAGTGGAACTCGTAGCTTTGTATATACAAGTGTACAGGGTAGTCGCTGCATCTAGGGTTAGGGCTAGGGCTAAGGCTTAACCCCAAGTTGTTAAAGATATAAGCTACTCAGCTGATCTCTAGCAGAATCCGGGTGCTCAGGATCACACCCGGAATCTACGATCAATCGATTACTAGAAACTATTATGCTACTAGATATTGATATCTATCTAAGACGCACAAGATTACGCAAGCTACTACTAGATAGACTCATCTAGACTCTATTCCAGTCAATATATATAGCAGTAGGATAGCTAAGTAGATAGAAGTAAGAGGAATAGAGGAAGCAAGAGGCCCTAAGCAAGATCAATCAATTCAATCTGTTTGTCTTATTTAATCAATTTCCTCCTCTCCTAGAATCTATCGATCAGGCTGCCTCTGAGTCTACTACGGACAAGTAGGAGGCAGAGACCTCTACCTCTGAGTCAATAGCAGAACAAACAGCCACCTCTATATCCTGACAATTAGGTCTAGTTCTAATTACATTAATTTTCAGATTTGTTAAAAGTTAAGAAAACAACTCTAAAGTTTTAATAAAACTAACTCGAAATGTCTGTGCACGGTTCTCAGCTTTGCAATACATTTCAATGAAACCGACTCCATTTCATCGTGTTATAGAGTGAGAGTACAACCAGTCTTCAGCAGTATAGTCGGGCAGGCAGTCAGATTCCTTTATTAGGGACTTCGAGAAAAAGTAGTCAGATACCAGTTCAGAAATGATTGGTCGAGAAAGTTGGTGTATACAATCCAGCGTTGAGCCTCCCCACCAGCGCGTTCTTCTGCCCTATTCAAGACGGCGAAGTAGGCATCATGTGCGAGCAAGCATACGATTCCATAGCAACAAGCAACGAAGGCGGCATCAGGGGAGGTGGGAAGAGGCACAAGAGGGAGGAGCTGACACCGACGGCCACCATTGATGAAAACGCCATCGCCGCACACATTAATGTTCGTAAGTAGCGAACTAATAGCTTGCCGCTTGTAGCGAAGGTTAAACAACTACAATACGTTTTGGACACACAAACAGCGAGAATCAAAAAGATAAACTAGAATGGGAAAAACTTAGGAGAGGTCGTGTAGCTAGACAACTACAATACTTTTTAATAATGTGAACAATACGAAGGGAAAACATAGAACGGGAAGATTAAAGGAAGACAGTAATCAAAACGGGTTCGTCTAAACAGGGAGATTATTTTATGTGGTGTGAAAGTCTTGAATGGCCTTAACGAAATTCCGAAGTTCTTATCTCATAAGTAACACCACCGGTGGATCACTCGAGGCGTCCTTCCACTTGTCCTTCTCTGCCTGCGTTGCATGCGCAGCTTCCATCTTGGGAACCCATTGATTGACGAGGCCCTTGGTTTTGGACTGCATGGCAGTGTACTGACCATTCATAAATCTAAGCCACTCGGACTTGAGGTACTGCTTCGACCATGGCTGGTATTCAGGGCGCTGGTTGGCAGGTAGTAGGGTCGTATCGAGTCTGTCGAGCATCTCTCCGATTCGTTGCGTCTGGGTTTTCATGGTTGCCTGGATAGTCAAGTGGCTCTTATAGAGGCGAGAGCCCATTTTGCTTTCCAACCTCTGGAGAATCTTCCTGACGGATGCATTGTCGGAAAGTCCCTTGGTCTATCACGAAGTGTCCAATGGGTTATGGCCGCTCCAGGAACTCTTCTTGGAAGGGTTATTGGTGGCATATTCGAGAGCGACAAACTTGGACCTCTTGAACGTCCTTTTCGGGAAATGCGCCACAATGTGCATAATAGGGTTCCAAGGCTTGCCGACGCCGCCGGTCGTGTCCCGGCCGGGCTACACAAAAGCGGGCACTTCCCACAGCGCGTCGACATATTGACAGAAGGGGATAGTTCTTCCCGGGGCCGCATTTGGGGCCAGATTCAGCTGCCTGAGCTTCTTTACGTTAAGGTGCTTGAAGAACAAGTCGATCATCTAGGTCTCGAGGATATGCTCTGTATGATACTTGATGCCGGTGGCGCGTGCCGTCAGGGGGCTGCCAAAGTCGAAATTGTTACAGTCCTTGGGATCGACCCAACCCCAATCTTAGCCTTTCAGCTAGCCGCCGAGGGTAGTTGCTCGAGATGTCGCATACTCGACCCCAGGCCTTTACCAACTTCTCGTCTCTCTTGTGAATTATGTGCAGTCCTTCACCTCCTGCGATTGTGTCTTTGTAAGACTAGACGAAGTGGCTGTGGCCTCTCCAGATGTCATCAAATAAGGGGTTAGCGAACTGGAGTTGAGGCTCAACCGCACGTCCGTACTTTATAGATTTGCTGAATCGTTCTATACAGCTGCTCTCCAATGTAAGCTTCGGCGTGTTCGCATTTGACGTCTCGAATATCTTCACAATCTCCTCGAGCTCGCGCTTGTTGTAGATATCCAGGTACAAGTATTCAAGCGATTCGGGAAGATTATCCCTAGGGTCTTTCAGATACGCGAGGCCCTCTTCGTCGAAGTCATCCATAGAGTGATGATCTTCTGAGGAACTTCCATCTGTTGATATATCTTTCGGGTCGTGTAATAACCATCCCAATTCGCAGTGCAGAGCTTTCAGCTTCTTAAAGCCTCGAGCTGATACAAAGCCAACACCATCCTCTCCATCCTAGAGTGAGCGTATCAGCATGCGACCAACATCGTATGTTTCGCAGTGCTTACCACGTAACCTGCTGAGATATCTACAAGATTGAGTTCCTCCAGCGAGTCGGCAGCATGGTTCACAAGGGCTCTAATGACCTTCTTCCCGTTGTACAAGTGCGTGTCATACCTGCCACCAGGGACTGTGTAATCGCCGGCATTGTAAGTAAATCTCTTCAAGTCCTTGATCAAGGGTAGGATTGTATCGAAACTGTTCGCATCAAACGCGCAACCTTGGAAGAAGAGCTCTTCCACGTTGGATACTGGAGTAATTGCACTCATGCGCAAACCTGCTTCATACTCTTCTCCATACATATGAGCACCCTCGCTACCCATCATGAACGCGGCGAAGGTCTTCAGCGATGGGATGCATAGGAAGTTGACAGCCCAATCGACGGTGCAAAAGCTTTCTGGATCATGATGTGTGATCGCAGCAAGGCGTAGATGCTGCAATGGCATCTGTGGAGCCAGAGATGGGTCCTGGTAGGCAGCGGCGACCCAATGAATGAATAACTCGAACGTCCAGCTCTTCAGATTATCGGTCATTCGGATCATGCGGAGCTGTGGCGAATGATGGACCAAGAGTACAAGAATGCACCCTTCGAAACCGCTGCGCAGATCGTCATCCATCTTATCACTCAAATCCGTTGCATCGGTGTCATCGGCAAAGAAACCCGGCGAATATGGATAGAGAGGCATGATCTTTTCAATTGCCGCCTTGAATAGACCCCTATCCTCTTCTGACATGTTCTCGTACTCGCTTGGTCGGTTGGTGCCGAGATCCAATTCTCTGACATACCAGCCCTTGCGCGGATCCTGCAAGATCTCCTTGGTAACCTCCCAAATGAGGTGTCCATCGTTAGTCGGTCGAATATTTGAGTATGTCGCCGAAAGTTTCGCATGCTGCCACAGTTTATCTTCGAGCAGTTTGAAGTGCGCTCTACTGGTGAGCGCAAAGGGGAGTGCTGAGCCGGGATCCAGGTGCTCGACGATGTCGAGTATCAATTCTGCAGGCAGGAGATCAAGTGACATGGTGTGTTATGCAGTGATAGAAACTGCAGAACGTGCTATTCGGAAGGTACTTATGCTATGCGCACAACTTCGAGTTTTCTAGAATAGGTGTAATTTTAGTCAAATATATACAAATCCATCCTAAGAAATCGATTAAAACTAGTGCCAAGTCGTGCAGCCTACGCGCTATAGAGCTAGAAGCTGGTAAAGTAGCTAATTCGAACACGTTTCACTCACGAAAACAAAAAGACACAGACCACCTAGCTGCTTACTAAGAAAGAGCTTAGTAAGAAGCTTACTAAGAATGCCGCTAGAAAGCGACACTATACGAGTTAATACTCAAGAAAATAGACAGGAAAGCCTAGGTCTAGAGGCTCAAATCGACAGAGAAATGGACGTAGAGTCCCCACCAGCCACGCCCACCCAACCAGCCAGCCAAGCTAGCTTATTTGAGCTGCCAATACTACCACCAAACAAACGGCAAGCCAACTTCTTACTAGAAATATCCTAGCCAGCCCGAAACCTATTCCCAAGCCAAAGTAATTAAAAGCCAACAGCTAAGAACGCGCAATAAGCAATTCAGTGGGCTAGAGACCTTATACTCCAGGCCTCTATAATGGCAGATTCCCACGTAGCTTAAAATAAGCTACTAGAGCTACTCGACGTCTTTAGAGACTATACTGAAACAGGCAGAGTAGCCAACTAATTCATAGAAAAGCTATCTGCCAAGCTAGCTTACTACTCAGCTACTCTAGTAAGCG